CTTTCCCCAGACTTACACTCTGGGCACATCCCTAAACACTGCTCCTGTGCCTTTTCAGGCTTAGTCACTGAATGTGTGTCCTGCCTTCCGCCTTGAGCTTCCTTCACCCATCCCCCTTCTCTGCCTGGACCCTTCATCTCTTTACTGAAGCCTCCCTACATCCCTGGGAAGACCGAGGTGCTTGCCTCTCTGCACCTCCATGTGGCAAGTTGGTAGGAAGGACTGTGTCTTTACTTCAAAATGACACAGACATAGACACGATCCCTGCCTTCAGGAAGCTTGGAAACCCAAAGCCTAAAACACAAAGCAAGATGCGCAAGCCATGAGCATGATCCCTGATGCCCAGATGATCGCTGTAAGCTGAGCTTTCTCATCATGTTAAGGGGTCCAGGAACTGAAGGCCACAGCCTTAAACGGGCTCCACTCTGGCCATGGCCCTCACTCATCGCTCCCAATTCCAGGGCCCTCACTGCACTTTCTCAATCTGTGATCCCATCACGTTTCATCTCTTTAATCCTCCATTTTGAGGATCGCTCCAGTCTTTTCCTGCCCCACAACTAATTGTCTTAGGAAACAACACTACAGCTAGGGAGAAGAGCACAAGCTTTGACGTCAGGCAGAACTACACTTGAATCCCAGCTGCCGCAACCTGATGACTTGCTGTGAGGATTTAAGGAGATGACAACATTGCCCTGTTTCAGCACACAGTAAGGACATTTTTAAGCCACAGCTCTTGTGGCTGTTGGGGTCATCCACCTCTGCAACCATCTTTAAGCCTCGTGTCAACCGTCCTGAGTTCCACCCTTTTGTCTCCCTTCCCTTTTCTTCCCCACCCCGTCCCTTATCCCTCAGCATGAGCAACAGATTCTACACAACCCCCGGACCTCACAAGCCTCATGAAGGAGGTGGCATTTGTGATAGACTTATAGATCTGGCAAGAAGAGAGTATACCAACAACAAGTGAGAAATGGTGACTAAAGGCAGAGACAGGAGAGCATGTATTTTGTTCATGCAGGGGACTATAGGGCCTCTATTTGGCTGGGTTGTGGGGTCCATGCCAGAGATGTTAGAGATCAGCATCAAAGAGTCTAGCACCACTATAGCTTTTGGAAAACCACAAGCACAGATTTGTATGTATAGGGTTGAGGGAGCAGATTCTAAGGTGACTATATGCAGGATGCATGGGGAAGGGAAGAGACCAAAGGCAGAGGCCACTCCTCAGGGGTGACAGTCTTGTCATGCAAAGCACACTGGTCACAAATTCAGAAGCACAAGGCTCCAACATCTACCACCAATGAAGCAAGTGACCTTGCGACTTCAGTTGGCTTATCTGTAAAATGAGAGGCTTGACTTTCATGTGCAGTCACCCAAGTACAAATACCAGCCTGGCCATTATCAGAACAATAAAGACCTTAGGTAAGATACTACATTTTCTGGTGTCTTCATTTCCCTCATCTGTAGAACGATGACAAGAGCAAAATACTTCCTTTGCAGTGCTGCGGCAAAGACATAGTGCTGACAGCCACACTGGGCACATGGTAGAATTTAAAATGGAAGAGAAAAAGAAAAATGATGGCTGTCAAAAGTCCTTCCAGCTTAAAAAAATAATAATAATAATCCACAGTCTTTCCTTTTGCAGAAATGACAATTCAGCAAAAATTTGTGGAACCCAAACTGGGCTAGTCTGGGATGCATTTTTCAAAATAATTGATTTGAGTGCCTAATGATTTTTTCCAGGTGCGTGTCTTCAGAAAATGTAAATATATTATTAGGAAGATAGAAACGCAATTGTGAAAGTCCTGAAAGGAAAAAAAAAAAAAAACACCTCAAGTAAACCTTTGATTTCGAGCTCAGACTTCACCTGCTTTTTGAACAAGAAGGGCTATGAGATGGGTATGCAGGCTCACCACTTGCTTCCTCGTGACGCTCACGGAGACTCTGGAAAGCAAACACACCACAGGACAATAAGCAGGTGTTTGCCAAAGTCAACCAAACCTCAGATGTCCCCAAGTTTTGTCTGTGACAGATCAGTTTGAACCCCTTTCTGTGACAGATCAGTTTGAACCCCTTCCAGAGGCCGGTGACCAAAAACTTAACAACCTGTTTCAAGACTCTGGCTAACGAGGTCCTGATTCAGTTCTTAAGAGACATCCCAGGAGTCCTAGACCTATTCCACCCTTCCAAAACACCTCCCACTTACCTACCCTTAGGAAAACACTCATCGCATTGCACTTGGGTTTCTACATGTCTGTCTACACCCGAGACTGAGCGTCCTTCACCTTATTCTTCCCAGTGCCTCATATATGACACTCCTGCTGTCAAGGGCAGCCTGACCCCAAAGTGTGTGCTCTTGCGATTACATCTACTGCCTCCCAAAGGACTGAAGGAAAAATACCTGGAATAAATGGATGGATGAGCATTCACATCCCAGGCCGTTCTTTCCACCCAGAATATCCTTCTCCGTCATTTTGAGACCTCTCAAGTAGCCTCGGGAAGGCGTTCCCTTACGGATCCCCACTTAATTCTGACTATGTCTTGCCACTGTGCCTTTCTTCGCCCTTATTTACTCACCATGTATTAGAGGGGTTGTCACCTCTTTTCACTCTCAATCCGTCTGCTGCTCTGAGCAGCTTCTCCCTGGGCTCTGTCCTTGGACTCTCCTGTCATTTGTCTCCCCGGAAAGCTCCTGCTCCCCACGCCTTCCTCTCCCTTCCCTCCTTTCCCACAGAGGATGCAGCTCACGGTGAGCAGAGCAGGGCCCAGGTTGGAGATTCTCACCCAACTATTCATCACAATCATCTACAGAGGTTAAAAAAAATAACAGGCATGTGCGATCATTGTTTTCTGGGAGAAAACAAATCATAGAGAACTATTAGAAGTGTTTGCCTTTGGAGAGGAGGACTGAGGGCTAGAAGGAAGGAGTTTGAAAACTTTTGCTGTACTGTGAGATTTTACTTTGGGAGTGTGTGAGTGTGTGTGTGTGTGTGTGTGTGTGTGTGTGTGTGTGTGTGTGTGGTGCATAGGTGTGAGTGCATAGGTGACTGTGTGTGGCAGGGTAGAGGGTGGGGGCAGGATTCCATAGTTAAACACAAAATTCCTCCTCCCCAGTAGGCTTCGTATAGAAGTTTCCCCTGCCTTCTCCTCCCCAGAAGCCATCTCAGATTATGGACCCAGACAGTCACCTCCCTACAAGGAAAGGCCAGAATGGAGCTTGTCCCCCATGGAAAGACAGGTAACGAATGGTGGTGAGCATGGACCCAGGAGCCAGGCAGCCGAAATTCAAGTGCTGCTGTGGTACCCTATGCCTGTCCCTATGGAATCTCGCCATAGTGCCATTCACTATTTGTTCACATGCCTGTCTGTATTACTGGGGTGTTAGTACCCTAAGGGAGGCACTGTGTCTCATTCAATTTTTTTGTTTTCCCTTGCACATAGAACAGTGTCTTTTGTGTACCTGTAAAACGTCCTAAGGAAGGAGTCACTTAGTTAAAAAAAAACCCAGCCTGCCTCGTAGGTAGCACTGAGTCTCCGGAGGGTAAGACACAGCAGTATAGCAGGGACAAAAACTCCTAGAGGGGAGAGCCAGTAGCGATGGCAGCAGCCCCACTCTGATTTCCCCAAATGGCTGCCACCTTGCCTCTGTCTCCCTTTCTCTGGGGCCAGCTAGATCGCAGGTGTGCCTTGGAGAATGCACAAAGCACTGAGCTGTCGCTCTTTACTGCCTCTTTTGAAACCCTGAGTAGGGACACGGACACACACACACACACACACACACACACAAACACACACTTCTATGTTTCTCCCCTTCTGTAATTAACCAGTTGCCACTTGTTCCATTTTCTGAATATAAAAAATGCAGACATGTCGTTTCATGTGGTTCAGCCAGGCATCTCTTTCTTCCAGAAAGCCGTCCTGACCTATCCATACCGGACTATCTCCTCCTCTTCTCCCATGGACTCATGGCCCTCGCCTCCCTTGTCGCATTTCAGCATTTCGCCATCTTAGGCTAACATTCACTCTCTCCTCCCAGGCCAGGGCTCCTTGGCATTGAGTCTCTTCTCTTAACATGCCCAGATTTCAGTGCATTTGTTGGCACACAACAGGAGTGCAAGAAAAGTCTGTGGAGGCAGATTCCTGTGCCCACCTGACTGCAGCTGACCTTCTCTGAGGCCGCTACAAAAGCAAAGGGGGTGTTAACTTGGTGCATAGTCTCCATATGGATGACAGTGGGTTTGCGTGGGGTGGAAGGCAGGCTTATGTTTAAGAGAAACCGTTTTTAGTAAAGAATTTGCAGGTTTTTGAGAGAGAGAAATATGTTGTGTCCTGGCTCTGAAATTCTAGGTAACTCACTTCACCAGCAGCATGGCAGCATGGCCCTTTGTTCTTTATTAAAACTGCACAGGGAATAACCTTGCCACGCTATTGCTACTATTAATAATGTGTGGGCCTTATCACGTTACAAATTGTGTTATGAAAACCAAGTGCCAACACGAGGGAAAACTGATAGGACAAGGCTGCCTCGCTCTGCTGATAAGGAGCATGCTTCCTTCAACCTCAGCTAGCACACTTCTGGGCATGTGAATATGCTGCCACCTCTTCAGCCCCAGCCCTTTCAGCACACTGTCACCAGTCAAAGGTACTTGCTGCCAACGGCTGCCAGGCCTTCCTAAAGAACTGGCTTCAGCCTGCACCATGGCCAGCAGTCTGCATTCAGAGCAACCAGCAGGCCTCTCAAAAGACAGGGAAACCATCCAATCCATGCAGTTTTCGGTTTTTATAAGGACATCTTCCCACAGTTTCCACTTCAGTATTCTAAACCACACTTGTAAAGAGGGCGTTGTCCTCACTTCTGTGATCTTACCCTCATTCTGTGTGAACTATGAATTCTTCTAAACAAGAATGGATGGGGGGAGGGCATGGTCATGGTGGGGGTCTCACTAGATATGCCCCTCTTCAAACTTGGGGTTGCCCAGGGGCTCCTCATGAGGATTTACCTCCCCTCTTCTGATGGCGGTGCTCCGTGAGGGCACAATATGCAGCACAGCATCGGTAGGAAGGAGAAGGCTTCCATCTACAGTTCATTAAACCCAGTTTTCTTTGCGTGCACCATCCACCAGGAACCGAGCATGAAGTCCAGTGATCCATGGAAGGACCCTGAGGGGAATACCTCCTCAAGGCTTTCTTTTGCCTACAAAAACCAAACGAGGGCTGAAATCAATAAGAATCTGATTTAACTTTTGAAAACAACCTCTTATTCTTTTGGGGAAAACCTTGCCTGACGACCCAAACTGATTTTCCTCATTTCAAATGCAAATTGCGCGCGTGCGCGCGCGCGCGCGCGCGCGCACACACACACACACACACACACACACACACGCTGTGGAGAATTTTTGTGAGGTAAACGGCGATGGCCCATTGCGAACGTTCAAGTTCAGCACCACTTTTTAACTTTCCATCACCAGGCCTTATCTTTCCAGAACACAGATGAAAGGTCTGAGGGAGGGAGGTGATCATAGAGATGGGAATGGCTTTTATTAAAAGAGTGTTTTCCCAGACCTTAACTAAACCTCATCCACTTTTGTCAGTCAGGGCCGACAGTTGAGAGCAATATTAGAGGAGGTAATTGCATATATCAGTCAACAGCTTTTGTCCCACAGCCACTGAGAATTACAGTAAAACGGGCACAGGAAAACAGCATACTGGATTAAAGGCAAAAAAAGATCTTTCTCCAGTTTCTCCCTACTCACCAGCTGTTATGTTCGGCTGTAGAGACAGAAGCAGCAATAATATCTGGGGGAAATCTAGCCTACCACAGTCTGGGGTTTTTTTCCTCCTTGTTGTCCCTCCTCCTTGAAGGTTTAATCTTTGACTTTGAAGAGAAACTTTTTCAAAAAGCATTCTATCGCGCCATAGCAACTAAGCTATTAAGCATATAGGAATTTTTCTCTCATTAAAGTTCATGAACATATATAAACCTGAACCTTCTGCCATTTTAGGCTGACTATAAAACAACCACCTCAGAGCCTTTGATGTCACTTGATAACAGGTCCCAGTAGTTGCTTAAGCAAGCAGCTGGCACCACACAGATACATTATGCAATACATTTTATGTATATTTGATTGTAAATCACACCAAGCCAAACTCATGCTGATGAAGAGTTTGCACAGGGGTCTGAAATTTTCCCCAGGTGAGCGGTAGCTGGAGGAAGACGAGAGGAAAGAAACTAGCCTCTTCCTGTGCACCTGGCCCAAATCCCCACAAGGTAAGTGTAATTGTCACCAGGTCCCTGGTGCTCCAGACACCAGAGACTGACCCCGCAACCCCAATATTAACGGAACTCCCTTTCTCTCAACCATGAGAAAATAACTCAAGACTGTCCAAAAGCTGCCAGAGGTTTGGACACAAAAGAGGGTAAGAAGTGCATTCTTAAGGCTGAGTCAAGGGTACCTTACAGGGAGAAATGGCTGAGCTACAAGAAGAGAACCAACTCCAGGGAGACAGCAGGGACCAGAAAAGAGTGGGCCTGAGTCATTTCTGAGTGAGTTAGCGAAACAAGGAACAGAGGTGAGTTCATCCAGTTCAACTATGACCCTGACAGAGGCCAGGTTGGACACGGATGCAGTGGGCCACAATAAATCTCTTGTTATTAATGAGTTTGATGCTTAAATACTTGAAATCCTATGGCACATCAGCCAAGGTCAACTTCATGACGCAACAATCAATAGTTGTTACGTCCATTTTACAGATCAAGAAACCAAGGTTTAGAAAGGTAAAGCAACTCAACCATGTTAATATAGCCAATGAGTGACATGGGCAGGACTCAAAATCAGCTTTGTCTCCTCCAAAGCCTTGTTCATGCCACGACAGCCATTTCATTCTGGGGCAGGGACGTGTCCAGCAGTACTTGATTGTGGACACTGGGGATGGAGGGAGCTATGGGATAAACCTGTGGTAGCCTCCTGAGGATTGAATTTATTCAAATATTGGTGGGTGTCAAAAAGAACAGGAGTAGCGTGGTATAAGATTAAGCAATTGCACTGATCAGTATTTCATAACACACTTTTTCACATTAAATTCAATGGCTATATTAGAGAGCAAGATGCAGTATTTATATTTTTTAAAAGCTTCAATAGACAACTAGTATGATTCAAAATTCAACAACTAAAAAATGGTGCAAAGTAGAAAATTTCTCTCTCACTTATCCCTCAAGCCCCAATTTTCAAGTCCCCTCTCAATAGGCAAATTATAATCTATTTTGTGCATTTGAATATATACATACAAGAGTATGTATATAGTCTTTTTTCCTTTTTTAAATATAAATAGTAGCGCACTAGACATCCATTTCTGCACTTTGCTCTTTTTCATTAAACAAGAAATTTTGGAGTTCATATCTGTAAACAAAGTGCTCCCTCATTCTTGTTTACAGCTGCTAGTATTTCATTAAATTGATGCATCATTATTTATTTAACCAGTCCTACTAGGGGGCTTTCAGGATGATCTGAAAACTTTGCTACAACAAACAGTGCCTTAATAATAATCTTTTACATAGATCATTTCACACATTTGAGAATGTATATATGAAATAGATTGCTACAAGTAGAACTGCTAGGTCAAAGGCATGTGCATTTTAAATTTTGATAGATACTAACAAATTTCTCTCTACAGAATTTGTAGCAATTGGCAGACAGCCATTTCTTAGTGTTATCAAACTCTTTTACATTTGCCAATCAGATAGGTGAAAAATGAAATTTCACTGTCATTATAATTTGCATTTCTCTTCTTATGAGTGGGGCTGAGTAGCTTTTCATGTGCTTATAAGAGCCATCCCCCCCCCTTTTTTTTTCCTGCAAACTGTCCATATCTTTCACTCACTTTATATAGGGTCTGGGGCTTTTTAAATTGGCTTGTAGAGCTCTTTATAGAGTATGCAGTCTAGCCCTTTGTCTGAGACATGAGCTGCACAGTTTCTCCAGGTCTGAGAACCTGCCTTCTTGTCATTTTCCAATGAGAACCCCAGCCCCACAGTGGTGGTGCCAGCTCCAACAGCCTGATTATGTTGACCCGTTCACACCTGCACTATTCTGAAACCTACTCACTGTCTGGCCAAGCTCCCTTTCACAGCCTGGATTCATCCTGCAGGGCCTGCCCTTCTCCAAAGGACATCTAAGGCTCCCTAATCTAGCTATTCCATCTACAGTCTCCCCTGAGAAGGTGAGGTGGTGAGGAGAGAGGTGAGAACTGGCAAATATTCTCAACACCAAACCCCAACGCAGGATTCACACACGTTACACTTTTTCTTCCCCTGGGCAGAAGGAAAGTCCATCAATTTATCACTCTAAGACCTAGTCTGTGTTCCTATTGTTTTATGAGCACTAGAGATAGGAACACACACAAAAAAAAGAGTCCCTACCTATAAGGAGATTATATTCTATTAGGATATAGGAATCTTAAAAAAGAAAAAAAAAACTTTTAAGGGAAATTGCAATGCTGAGGAACTCCTGCTTGGATGAAATAGGCACAGATACCTAAGGGGGTCCACAGGACGGTCCTCACAGCTGAAAGTAGGCAAGATGGCTAAGGGTACCAGGGGAGATGATGACTGAGCTAAGGCATTACCAGGTCTAGAGGCCATGGGGAAAGTAATCCAAATAGAGGTGCACCATGAGCAAAGGTCTGGAGGTGAGAAAGCATTACCCGTTTGAGAGGCTGCAGGAAGTTAACGGTGGCTGCAGTTTGAAGGGCCAAGGGTGAAAGAGAAGAAGCTCTAAAAATGAGCAGGGGCCAGGCTGTAAAAGGATTTGCAAGCCTTGACAAATGTGTCTTTGTCCCTGAAAGTGGTGAGGAACGCAGAAATATATTATGCAAGAGAATGACATGACCAAATTTGGGTGTTAGAGAGGTCTCTCTGATAACATAGTAGAAGTAGCCAAAACTATTGGTGACATTTGAATATTGCTCTCTAATCTCCCTTTTCAGAGACTTTTACTTCCCATCTTTTCCCTGACTTCTTCTACAGCAAAGTTGCTCAAGGAGGGTTAATAATTCATAACAGAGTGCAAGTGACTGACAAGATTTAATTGATTGTTTTGATAAGAAATAAAAAAAAAGAATTTAGAATTTGGAAAAGTCAAGTTAAATTGGTGGGATAAGTATGTGGGTGGGAGAGACCCCAGCAGCATTTCCCAAATCACACTAAATGATACCTACCACTTCTCTCATTAGCACAAAATCTCTCTCTCTCTCTCTCTCTCTCTCTCTCTCTCTCTCTCTCTCTCACACACACACACACACACACACACACACACACACACACACACACTCTACTGCCTCAAGTAGGAGGTAAGAGGCAGGCAGGCACTTTACACAAACACCAGTGGGACAAATACCAATCACAAGTGGACAGATTTCGCTGATCTTCCCAACCAAAAAAACACAAGCCCCTAAAAAAGTTCAGGCTCCCATCAAGGAGCACGTTTGTCTTGGTGAAGATGTGAGGAAACAGACAGTTATTATGGTGACAGCATCAACTGATAAAGCCTCTATAGAAGGCAATTTGACAATGTCTACCAAAATTGCAAATGCATATATATCTTGATCCAAAAATTCTACTACTGGGAATTTTATACACACACACACACCCCTACAAAACCATTTATACATAAGATTCTTTATTACAGTGTTATTTATAATAATAAAAGACTGAAAACAACCTAAATATTTATCAATGTGGGACTGTTTAAATTATGGCATACACATAACATGAAATACCATGTAGCTACAAAAAAAAAAGGCTGAGGAAACTCATTATATGCTATATGAAAAGAGCTTCAAAATATGGTATTAAAAAATGCAGAGTTGTGCATATACTACACTATTATTTTTCCACATAAGCTATTGGGAGCAGGGAGAGGAAAATATATATGTATTTGTGTATGCATAAAACAACCCTGGAAGTAAACAGAAGAAAACAATAATATTTGGCTGCCATTGGGAAGGGGAAAGGGTGGCAGGGGAAGCATGTGTCACTATATTTCCTTTTATTCCTTCTGAATCATGTAAGTCCATTACCTATTCGAAACTGTCCCTGTCCTTTAATAGCTTACAGCCAAAAAGATAAACGCGTGCACAAGGAGGGAAGGCCTCATTAAAAATACCTAATAGGCTATAACACGTAGGTAAGGAAAGGGC